TGAATGGCATGTTCAAATCTGAGCTAAACATTAATTTAAGAAAAGTGAGGTGAAGGTCAAAGGAAAGGTCAGGGTCAAAAAATGTTGATGCAGTTGCATAGCTCTCATCAATATCTATCAACATATGAAGTTTGATGAAAATATCTTGGATAGTTTCTTTTAAACTTACCTTTGAGCAGACCTATACGCAATGTGTGACGGAAGGACGAAGACGGACATGACAAACACTATATGCCTTGGCCAAATTCATGGCGGGACATAACAATACAAAATAGGAGCAGATTAAACACAGACCTCCAAAACATCAGAGGTGGGATCAGGTGTCATGGAGGAATGAGCATCCCCTGCTGACCGGTCACACGCTCATTGTCTTGATCAGGAAATAACAGAATAACAGAAATATCTTTCATCAATTTAGTGTGTAAATAAAGGACTTACAATTGGTATGAAAAAAATCAGACAGCATTTTTACTCAATGATAAATTGTATTTGCTGACAAAGTCATTGTATTGACCATAGAACTTAGGCAATGATGACTTTGAACATGACTGCTGTAATCTTGTTTTGAAATTTTCAATAATTTACCTAGTTTTGGAAATTGCACATACATAGAGCATGCTATTGCACATCAATTAAACTGAGAGATATAACCATCAGCAGGTGATGAAAGTTTATTGCTGCACAATTAAGGGAAGTTCACAATGAAAAGTTTAATTCATCATATTTATCATAGAGCTTGGTTAGTAATCTATTTCTGGACATGCTTAAAAGCCTGCTCTGAAAACATTAACCTGGTCATTCTTTAGCTGAAATTGCAGCATCTTAAAACTTAACTGGTACAAAGAAACTTACTAGAAATATTTTTTTTTTTTAAAAATGCTCCCTAAACCTTATCCTAGGACACCTACACTGAAAGTTTACCAAAAGCTCTCCTTAACTTTTTTGAAGTGAACTAAACATATAGGTAACAAATATTACGAAGCTCATCTCGACAAATGTTATCAGTTTAAGTAATGCAAATCTACATCATATTTTCTCAATAGTAGGTATTTATCCTGAGAAATAGTTTAAATAAGTCTTACAGTTCCTTGGGGATTGACCTGTTCCAAAAACTTCAAACAAGAGGCCCAGGGGCCACATCACTCACCTGAGCAATAGGCTAGGAAAAAGCACACATCAGATCAGAACTGAAAGTTTACTGCTGAAGGGGGAGGGGGCTTGAATTTTAACCACCCAGAGGGTCATGATTTGAACAAAGCTTGAATCCACACTACCTAAGGATGATTCCCTATAAATATCACTAAGCATGGCTTTAAAGTACAGTTAATTCTCGATAAACCGCCACCTTTTGTAATTTAGAAATCATGGCGGTATAACGAATTTGGCAATGAATTGAATTTCCCATCTTATTGAAAACAAGAAGGAGACCATTTAGTGTTTCTATTCTTATTATTACATGTTCATGTATATAAAAACATATTCAGATTGAAAATACTTCAAGTAATTTTTTTAATGTACAATTTCACTAAAACAAAATGTGCAGTTATGAAATAAAGACATGTAGGTGTGTGTGCATGCAGGTAAATCTGCGCGTCTGATATTAAAAAAAAAACATGCTAAATTATTGTTAATGGCATCATTGTTAATGAAAAGTTCACAATTCATACCGTTTAAGTATTATTTCAGCAAACTTTGCATTGTTTAAAGTGGAGATCATCAAAATAATATCGTTATCGGCATACTTTAAAACAACCGCGAAGCTGGGCTAAATGATTTTTATTAAACAGAAAACAAATTAAATATAACAGTTCATGTTGAAATTATTGTTTATTTAATTCATGTTTATTTATTTAATTGCAAGTACCTTCTCTGCCTTTGCATGTTTTACAACAGGGATAGCGTCAACCAATTAGCTACACTTCACTGTCCGCATACACCTGAGGCCGTATATCGAGATAATTTACATTTAAAAAATGGACGTTTGTTGTGAAAACAGGGTGGCGGATGGCGGGATGCAAATTTGGCGTTATAAAGAGAAAAGATTTTAAAAGGTTTCCCTACAAATTCCTATGTAAAACTTTTATCACCCATTTGGCCCCACCCTACTGTCATGATTTGAACAAATTTGAATATTCACTACCTGGGGATGATTCCATAGGAGTTTCATCTTTCCTGTCTCAATGGTTCTTGAGAAGATTTTTCCTATATATTCCTATTTTTCTATATCAAATTTTGATTGGCCATTTGGCCCCACCCTACCCCCCGGGGGTCATGATTTAAAAAAACTTAAAACTACACTACCTGAGGATGATTCCACATGAGTTTCATCTTTCCTGGTCCAGTGGTTCTTGAGAAGAAGATTTTTAAAGATTTTTCCTATATATTCCTATGTTAAACTTTGATCGGCCATTTTGGCCCCACCCTACCCCTGGGGGTCATGATTTGAACAAACTTGAACCTACACTACCTGAGGAAGATTCCACATGAGTTTCATTTTTTCTGGCCCAGTGGTTCATGAGAAAAAGATTTTTAAAGATTTTTCCTATATATTCCTATGTAAAACTTTGATCGGCCATTTTCGCCCCACCTTACCCCTGGGGGTCATGATTTGAACAAACTTGAATCTACACTACCTGAGAATGATTCCACATGAGTTTCATCTTTTCTGGCCCAGTGGTTCTTGAGAAGAAGATTTTTAAAGAGGCCCAGGGGCCTATATATTCCTATGTAAGCACATTGGGCTTGCCATTTATGGCCCCACCCCTTCCAGGCGTTCATCATTTGAACAAACTAGAATCTACACTACCTGAGGCTGATTCTGTATAAATATCACTAATCATAGCTTTAAAGTACTTGAAAAGAAGATTTTAAAAGGTTTCCCTATATATTTTTGTAAATTATCGGCCATTTTGGCCCCACCCTAGCCCTGGGGGTCATGATTTGAACAAACTTGAATCTACATAATCTGAGGATGATTCCACATGAGTTTCATCTTTCCTGGCCCTGTGCTTCTGGAGAAGAAGATTTTTAAAGATTTTTCCTGTATATTCCTATGTAAAACTTGGGTCCGACATTTTGGCCCCACCCTTGCCCCGGGGTCATGATTTGAACAAACTTGAATCTACACTACCTGAGGATGATTCCACATGAGTTTCAGCTTTCCTGTCTCAATGGTCCTTAAGAAGAAGATTTTTAAAGATTTTTCCTATATATTCCTGTGTTAAACTTTGATCGGCCATTTTGGCCCCACCCTATCCTTGGGGGTCATGATTTGAACAAACTTGAACCTACACTACCTGAGGAAGATTCCACATGAGTTTCATTTTTTCGGGCCAAGTGGTTCTTCAGAGGAAGATTTTTTTAAAAGCCATTAATTTTTCCTATATATTCCTTTGTAAAACTTGAACAAACTTGAATTTCTTTTATCCAAGGAAATATTTTGGCCCCACCCTGAAAGCCCAGCAGCTTGAGAAGAAGTCGAAAATGTGAAAAGTTTGAACAAACTTGAAGACACATTACCTGAGGATGATTCCACATGAATTTCATCTTTCCTGGCCAATATTCGGCTCAGAAGTGATGTTTTTTTAAATGCCATTAATTTTTCTCTAATTCATTATTATCTCCCCTTGGAAAAGTGTGTGGCCCTTCATTTGAACAAAGTTGAATCCCCTTTACCCAAGGATGCTTTGTAGCAAATTTGGTTGAAATTGGCCCAGTGGTTCTTGAGAAGAAGATGAAAATGTGAAAAGTTTAGGACAACGACGCCAACGACAACGACAGACAACGGACAAATTTTGATCAGAAAAGCTCACTTGAGCCTTTGGCTCAGGTGAGCTAACTAGTAACTTGTTTGAAAAATTTAGGTCAGATCCATCATCCAGAGCAAGTCTTGATTGTCCATCCTTAGATGTATTATCCATGCAAGTTTGGTCCAGGTAGGGCTTATAGTTTCTTGGAAATAACCTGGTCACTCATCTGAAAAATGTAGGACAGATCCAGCATCCGAAGCAAGTCTGGTAGTGTCCATCCCTAGATGCATTATCCATGCAAGTTTGGTTCAGGTAAGGCATTTAATTTCGTTGTTTTGAAAGTAACCCTATTCAATATATAGTCATGTAAAATTTTGTGTGGGATTTAATATCTTTAATAATTGTTTTCAATGAAATAATTGTAATTTAATCCCCCACAAATATTTGTGCTTTTACAGTAGTTACATGGGAATGGACTTGCTCCTAGACCTTTAACCTGGTACACCAATGCTTATGTCAACGCCAATGCTGGGGTATAGCATAAGCTCATCTCGACTTCCTCCAGGTGAGCTAAGAAGGAAACATTCCTCACAAGGGGCAAAAGAGTACAAAGATGATCAGCCCTGTGAATCCATGCAGAGAACTGAAGCTTCAGTTCTGGACAACACATAAGAATTGCTACACATACCATTCTGAAGACTTACCTTTGATGAAGCTGGCTATGTCTACTGCTGACTGTTCTATTCTAAACTGATACCTGGAACAGTGTGGAAAGTCCTTTCAACTTGACAGCTTTTCCTGTCATGGGCTGAAAAGAAGTAGAAAACTTCAATGGTGCCTGGTACTGATTCAAACATAATAAACATGGACAAGGAACACTTATGTTTGTTAAGAGACTATAATTTTTTTTTTCTTTTGGACCAAAAATTCTTGATAGAATTGAAATATAATCTAAAATGGATCATATTATAAAAATCAACATCAAAATGTATTATAAGTATTTACTAGAATTTTTTTGAAAGTAGAATACATAAAAACTGTACTCATTGATTAAGGCTTGCGGATACTCAACATTGGATCTTTGGGAATCTGTATGGACACCTGTTGTAAAAGGATGTAGAGTGGCTCATCATCTAAATCAACAACAAAGTAGGAAAGATTACTTCAAAAGCAAACAAGAGGATACATGCTGATATGAGCACTTTTGCTAGGGAAAAAGCAGATATCAGTTCAGTATTAAAAAGTTTATTTATAGAAGTGGTCATAGGGGGGAGGGGGTTATTTATAGAAGTGGTCTCAGGGGGGAGGGGGTTATGATTTGAACAAACTTGAATTTTCACTCTCCCTGTGCATACTTCCAAATTCCTTTGGTCGCCCTCTTGGCACAGTGGTTAGAGCGTCTGCTCTAGAGTCGCAAAGTAAGAAGTTGATCCTTAGGTCTCGGGTTCAAATCCCACAAGGAGACCGGTCCTTTGGATGAGACCGTTTAAGGTCTCACACAAGGAAATAATTTCACTATATGTTACTATATAGCTTTGATTAAATTAATTAATTAACTAGACTCTCAGCAGATAATTCATAAAATAGAAAATAAAGATTAATGCTTTGACAAAAATTTGAGATCAGAGAAAATACCCCTAATGCGGCTTTTAAGAAAAAAAATTGAGATTAAACATACCTACCCTGAAATACACGTGGGTTTCAGATGTTGACGAACAGCCTACACACCATCCAGGAAGTTGCGTCACGTGCACCTAAAAAAGAGTTCCCTTTAATTCAGTGGCACAATTCTGCTAAAGATATGATATTCCTAGTACATGAGTCCAAAATTAAAACTGTAGACCTAAAAAAAGTTGCCGAAAATGAAAAAAGAAAAAGAAATTGTCCCCATGTATATGGAGCTTCATTTGACTAAGTTTGTTTTGATTGGCAATTTCCTTGCGTAAAACCTTAAACTGAGGTTCCATGTCACAGTAGGTGCTTGCATGAAAAAGATCCCTCACTGTTCAATGGCCCTGAGTGTAGAACAAAGGACAAAATTGGCAGTTCTCCACCGACAAATGGTGGCGTCTCCATAGGAGTAAAAAATTCTCAAGAAGGACGTTAAACAATATACAATCAATATATCCTTACCTGTCTGCGAAACATAACAAAGGTTACAGTGGTGATTGGTAGAAATACAGCGTCAAAACTCTCTGTTGATGTCCAGGCAGTATCCAGCAATGTTTATTATGGATGTTCCTTAACAGGGGAGACTACTCCTAAAATCAGAGGAAATGTCGTCAAAATAAAAGTTACCCATGATTCTTACAACTAGGTTCCAAACCAGAAAATATTTTCTTTACAGTATAACACGATAATAACAAACACTTAAACAAGAGGCCCATGGGCCACATCGCTCACCTGAGAACTGTGGCTAGGAAAAAGTAGAAATTGGTTTATTATTGAAAAGTTGAAATCCAAAAGTTGTTCCATGACCAGTCATGGCTTTGCTATTCTTGAGAAGATGATTTTTAAAGAATTTTCCTATATATTTCTATGTAAAACTTAGTGGGCCATTGTGGCCCCACCCTACCCCCAGGGGTCATGATTTGAACAAAGTTGAATCTACACTACCTGAGGATGCTTCCATATAAATATGATCAATTCTGGCTTTGCTATTCTTGAGAAGAAGATTTTTAAAGAATTTTCCTATATATATGTATATGTAAAACTTGGGTCAGCCATTGTGGCCCCGCCCTACCCCCAGGCATCATGATTTAAACAAATTTGAATCTACACTACCTGAGAATGCGTCCGTATCATTTTGATCAATTCTTGCTTTGCTATTCTTGAGAAAAAGATTTTTAAAGAATTTTCCTATATATTTTTATGTAAAACTTTGGTAGGCCATTGTGGCCCTAGCCCTGGGGGTCATGATTTGAACAAACTTGAATTTATACTACCTGAGAATGCTTCCATATAAATATGATCAATTCTGGCTTTGTTATTCTTGAGAGGAAGATTTTTAAAGAATTTCCCTATATATTTCTATGTAAAAGTTTGTCGGCCATTGTGGCCCCACCCTACCTCTTGGGTCATGATTTGAACAAACTGGAATCTACACTATCTGAGGATGTGTCCATATAAATATGATCAATTCTGGCTTTGCTATTCTTGAGAAGAAGATTTTTAAAGAATTTTCCTATAAATGTCTATGTAAAACTATGGTTGGCCATTGTGGCCCCGCCCTACCCCTGGGGGTCATGAATTGAACAAACTTGAATCTTCACTACCTGAGGATATGTTTCCCCATAAGTTTCATCTTTCCTGGCACAGTGGTTCTTGAGAATTTTCATTAATTTCCAATTATCTCCCCTTGAATGAGGGCACGGCCCTTCATTTGAACAAATTTGAATCCCCTTCACCCAAGGATGCTTTGTGGCAAGTTTGGTTGAAATTGGCCCAGCAGTTCTTGAGAAGAAGTTGAAAATGTGAAAGGTTTACAGACAAACGGACAGACAGCTAGACAGATGGACGCCGGACAAAATGTGATCAGAAAAGCTCACTTGAGCCTATGGCTCAGGTGAGCTAAAAAGAATTGACATTTACAGCAAAGTGGTTCTTATTCCCCATGGCTATAAATATATTGTAAACTAAACAGATACATCTTTAATGAACAATAAGGAAGCAAAATCCCTGGCACTTTCTATAAATCTGTTTCACTGTAAAAATGTAAAAAATGAAGACAGTTAGATTTGCATGCAGGGCTGACTGCTTCATTAGAAACAGATCTGTGTGGAATTAGTATAAAAAGTCATTGGTAAGAAGTTTGAAAAGTCAATGACCCCCCCCCCCCCCCACCATTTCAGTTAAAAAAATTTTTTTGGATTGTCAACTTTACTGGGTTAATTTGGGACCCCCCTTTTTTTGGAGGGAAAAAAAGATTCACACCTTGGGTGCATGGTTATTTCAACATTGGATATACTGATACTTGAATATTTCATAGAAATCAAATGCTTTTAAAAAAATGTGACCTTCTTTTGTAAAATTGAAAAATGAGGGTGAACTGCTACATATTTTTCTTATTCAGTTTTGAACTTTTCAACAATGTTCAATGAAGAAAAAAAATGAAAACTGTCCCTAAATAATGTATTTTACAGGGAAGTAGATGAACAGACACTCCAAAAGACGTTGGACACATTAAAAAAATGAAAACTGTAAGAATAAATTTTTTTTTCTAAAATATTCTTTACAGACAAAGACCTTGTATAAGGGTCTACCTCACAGTATCACTCAAGGCGATAAGCGCTCCTGATCTCGGACCAGTAGAGCTAAAAACTCATTTTACTTGAGCTTTTTTAAAATAAAAACAGATTTACCTATAAATAGTATCATGTGGCTGATTAAACATCGTCTCACTAGCCCTGAACAACCTCTCATTTCCCGCCACGGACGTCATACAAATGGCGTTCCAGTATTACGATCCCGATGCTATTTCACACCGGACATTGGCCCCACGATCAACAATTAAATCTGTAAACAGAGTAAACAAAAAAAGCATTCCCTCATGCAAGTCTTTCTTTCAGATTATCTTTGCCAAAGTCATGCATTGCATATTTTTTTCTCCACATTTGTATTTTTTTTGGTTAATCCAAAACTTTTCCTTCATTGATCAATATGTTTAAGATAATTTTACTCATAACATCCATAATGTTAGAATAAATTGAAAACATGTGCATGTATTAATATTGTATATGTACAGATATATGTTTAAACAGACAGTAGACAAAAATCTCTACATCGTGCGCGGATCTAAGAAAATTTTCAAATGTGAGATGATCAGATCTAGAGGGGTCGCGGTCCACATTACACTAACTTAACAAATTTACCAGGAATAGGAATTTCTTGGACAAGAGAAAAAAAACTCAAAACAAATAAAACAAAATCAAAGTTATTTCTTTTTTGTTACGTCATTCCAATTTTCTCTTTCTTTCATTAGCAAAAAAAAAATGTTTTCACTGAATTACAAAGTTTAATAAAGTTAATTATGTATAAATCGTACAGTACTCATCTGCTGTCTACCTGAATTTCTATTGACAGATGGAGGAGTGTTTCCTTACAATTTCACATGGACATAAAAAAAACGACTCACTCTCGAGCATTCTGAATCGAACATTCCGTATACCCTATTATGTAGTTGAAGCTATTTTTAATGGACTTTACGTACATTTGTATATATATTGTACAATACTCACTTGTCTATATCTGAATTTCTTTTGACCAGTGAACAAGCGGCTCCTCACATGTACAACTTCACGTGGACATAACAAAATCCAAAGACTCATTCTGAGCGTATTGAATCAAACATTCCCTGTACCCTGTTGTTGAAGTTATTTTAACAGGACTGTGTGCAAAGGCGCTCGTGCGTGAAAAACATAAAGTGTGGCCAGCAGACTAAGAAGTCGGAAATTCACGAAAACTACCGAACCTGAAAAAATGTAAAGAAATCTGTGTTATATTTTTTTTTTCGAGAGAAGACTTAGACATAAACGAATATATAGATAATTTCTAAAAAGAAATCAAATATTTAAAATTCTTTAGTGCCGGGGTTATTTATTCCATTGGATTTAGGTCAATACAGGACTGAGGGCCAGGTGGGTATAGCCTTACAGAAGACCTAAACAAGAAAAACAATCATGAGATATTTTTCTACGGACTAGGGATACACAATATATTAGCATAGTTTTCACTGTAATGTGTGCAAAAATAATTTCAAAAAAAATTTGCAAAATTATGAAAGAGCGCCTGTAGCTCTACGATTCTTGGTTCCAATGGGCTGGCTAAATCAGCCCCCACCATACCCCACCCCCTTCTGCATGGAATTTCCAGATTTACAGTGTATAATTATACAATATTTCTAAGAAGAAGTCAGGCACGTAGCATACCAGAGAAAATTTTTTTTACTTACCTGAAAAAGTTGACAAGCAAAAAAAAAAAAACAACAACAAAAAAACAACAACAAAAATTCAAACTTGCCCAAAATCCTATTTCGTGGGGGGAGGGGGGGGGGGAGGGGGGGGGCGGTAGCGGCCAATTTTTTCAAAGCCAACTTACTATCACTTTCAATTTTTCTACAATCCTTGATATTTACAGTGTATAATTGAACATTTACTATAGTAAAGGTTATTTCTAAAAAAGAAGAAGTTACAAATAAATAGCATTGGATCCTATAGAAAACACACTGACAAATGCCTCCAAGAATGGGGAAGAATTTATAAAGTCTTGTTTTGAACAAACTGATTCAAAAAAGTCTCCAAAATCAACGAAATAGGTTTTCCCAGGTTTTTTCGGTCTCTTTGATTGATCGTCGCCTGTCTTAACTTTTGCCTATAAAACTTTCGTTTCCATGCGATATCTTGAAGCTATATCTAAATGAAACTTGACATAACAACTACATCTACCTATGACTTACGAAAAACCTACTGATTTTGAGTCAAAGTTCAAGGTAATAAATTCAGTCATTCTGTTTGACTGTAAAACTTTCTGAGCAATATCTCTAAAAGCTTTTGAGTTTTTTCAGTGAAATTTTATGCCAAAACTCCCTATATAGCACCCACCCACCCCTTCTAGATCCATGCGTTATCTTCTTTATTCGTTAAGCGGCGGACACTGTCTTTAAATTACCTTGTTAATGAATGTGCTAGAAAGCTCTGAAGGGAGAAATTTCAATAGGGACGGGCGGGGGTTGCACAACGAAGTTTAATTATGTTAAGTTTTATGGTACAATCAAACTCAAATGTCTCGACAGAAATGCATGTATTTTGGTATTCATATAAATCAATTTTTCCAAAGTCCTATCTAAAAAAAATAAATAAACACTTGCTGTGGCTTCAAGAGACATTATACATGTACAATATTATAATTTCATGTAAATAAGTTGAATCTGATTGGTCGAGAAACATTTGTTAATTAAAAAACACTATTACCGGCTGAATAACGAAGCCACGCCCTCCAGTGTAGCAACAGTGCTTGACGACGGGTGATATTCCAAAAAAAAAAAAGCAACTGCGCAGAATTTATACGCTCACGGTTCACTGTTATATGTATTTGTATAAAACATTCAGTATAATATAATAAATATTGTATTTAGTTTTGTGCAACATTGAAAATTTTCACCCCAAGAAAACCACTGTCCACCTCGGCTGCTCCTCGGTTGACAATGGTTTTCTTGGGGGTGAAAATTTTCAATGTTACACAAAACTACATGCAATATTTATATATTAATATATACATGTATCAACGACATATTGTCAATTAACAGTCCACGTGGCGCAGTTGGTAGAGCGTCTGCTCTAGAGTCGCGAAGTAAGGAGTCAATCCTTATGTCGCGGGTTCGAATCCCACTAATGAGTCCGTATATAAACCGAGGTCCCGTGTCGCAGGTGCTTGGACGAAAAAGATCCTTCCCTGCTCAATGGCCTTAAGTGCCAAGTATAGGACAAAATATTTGCAGCTCTCCACCGGCAAGTGGTGGCGTCTCCAAGAGTGAAATATTCTCAAGAACGTTAAACAATATATGATCAATCAATTAACTATGGATATTTTTCCATTTTTTTAGTGAGCTTAAAATAAAAGATACCACAGAGTCTGACACATCTGTTTCATATTTAGATATTTTACTTGAAAAAACGTTAACTGTAATCTAACAACCATTCCAAGCAACTTTTCAATCAACTTCCCTTACTTATGCAGTAATATACCTTCGTCACCTGCATACAATCTCTCAAGTTGATTCGATACAAAAGAGAATGCTCTATGTGCATGTATGAACTATTTTTAAGGCAAGGTAAGTTGTTAACAAACAAGTTGCTGAAACAAGAATATCAGCAGTCTCATATAAAGTAGTCATTTTGTAAGTTCTATGGTCAACACAATGACCTTGTCAGCAAATACAATTTATTATCAAGTCAAATACTGACGTTTTTTATGCTAATTGTTATTCCATTATTTACACACTGAATTGTCGAGAACTTTTTTCGTTATTTCCCGCAATCATGAAAATGAGCACACTGTTGGTGTGAACAGTCGGCAAGAGATGCTCACTCCTCCATGGCAACACCTTAATTAGTCAAATTTCAAACATTTTTGTGCATCAGGTGAAATCTGTTCTTTGTCAAAAAAAAAAAAAAACAAAACAAAAAAAAACAAAAAAAAAACAAGATAATTCATAGCTTGCAATGATTTATTGCGGATTTTTCTACTTGTTAATTGTATAAAATAAAAATATATCTACCAGTTACAATAGCATCAATACAGGAGGGAGGAGAGAAACAGAGGAAATGTGGATTATCTCTAACAAAATATACACAACGCAAGACAACCACATCATGAAACATCAAGAGAAAGAAAAATAATGTACCGATACAAATGCACATAACTTATAGGAATATACTTTGTGAAGTGCATCTGTAAACAAGGAAACTTTAGACCGTACTACAATGTTTTGACAATTTTTTGTGCTCTTCTTTGTTTTAATGAAATTTTTTCATGTGAAATAAAGCAAAAAGAATCTATTAGTATTCAGTGAATAATGATGATCAGAAAGTCCTTTTTATGCTTGTTCTCTTCCCACTTACATACAGGGTATAAAAATAACATAATTTTAAAATATCTGTCTCATTAACCAGAAAAAAAATATAAAGAAATTGAAGAGATGGACCAATTAATAAAGTGTTCATTCTTCAAAAACAAGTAACTAAGCACCTTAATTAACCTGTATTGAAATTGCTTCAATCAATTGTTTTATGTAGTAGTCTTGTTGACTTTTGGTGCAATATAAAATTAAAGAATTGAAATCTGTTTTTTTTTTAATCTCCAACAATACGTACTGCTATAGATACTAGTAATACATGTACCTATAAGGATGATAAATGTAAACTAATAAAGGGAGTTGTTCAAACTTCCAATCAGTGATTAAAACTGCCGAGTTCAAAGATAGCTCTTTAAAAAAGTGACATAAAATATGTCCTGTGTACATAAAGTTAATCCCTTCATCTTCATACACACCCATATTACATATTTTAGCACAGAAAAAAAAGTACTAACCTTCCTCATGTAAAATTTTGTATAAATTATCTATTTCCTTTGTACTGTAAATTAGAAAAACTTTTTAAACTCCACCCCTAATATGTTTAAATCTACACTCAAAGAAAATATAAATTTTGGAATGGTCTATCAATTGTTGCAGTACATTATTGCTGGGACAGTATATTGTAACTAAAAATGAATTATGAATTTTAGATTGTACCATGTTCTCTTTTAAATAAAAAAATCTTTTAATTAAATATAAACAATGACCAAAAAAATTGCAAAAGTACAATTTTTTTTTCTTCTGAAGAACAGTAGGGCTTTATGAATACTCCTGGTATATGAATTTTTATCAAACATTCCCCTGCAGGTAATAATCTCTTTCTTCTTTTTTTCAACGTTCCAATGAGAATCCTAGTTTTTTTTTTTTTTTTAAATGATGCAATTTGTAAAAGAGTCACAAAAATTTCTTTAAGCGGTCTTGGTACATATAACATCAGAGATTTGTTATAATGAATTACAAGAAGCAATCAGACATGAAAACAAGGCCAGGGCAGCACTTTTTGTGATCTTGTAGACATAAAAAAATGTAATATACATATATATCATAGATTTAAGAAGAAAAACCCTCCTCTGAATATGAAAATTTATGACAATATATCAAATTTCTTATCTTTATACTCACTGACGAAAAAAAATGTGTGTACCCCATCAGTTTGTCAATGTCCACGTTACTTAAAAATAAAAATTAAAAAGCAGTGAACATGGTGAAGCATACGCAAAAATACAATTTTGCATAGATACTGTGAATATATTAACAAGTACCTCACATGTACATACATAACAACAACAAAAAAAGCAAGAAGACCAAGAGAGACTATCACACATATCGTCCTATCTAAACTGTACACAGTACACAAGTACCTAGAAAATCAACATAATACAACAATGGAATTGGTTTCCTCTATGGAGTAGCTCAAGACACTGAGACAAAAAAATCTATTGGACCCTATACATGTAAAACAAGAGGCCCAAGCTTTGACCATTCTGTTCTTTACCAGATTTCATCCTTGTTATACATAATGCATCCCCACCCTACCCCACTGATCATAATTGAGACATTTTGAAATCTACACTACCCCATGATTCTTCCATGGGCACATATGTTTCAGCTTTTTTGGCTCAGTGGTTCCTGAGAAGAAGATTTTCAAAGATTTTTCCTATATATTTCTATGTAAAACTTTGATTCCCCATTGTGGCCCCGACCTTCCCCCGGGGGTCATGATTCCTACAATTTAGAATTTACACTACCCCAGAATGCTTCAACGTAAGCTTCACTTTTTCTGGCCCAGTGGTTCTTGAGAAGAAAATTTTCAAAGAATTTTCCTATATATTTCTAAATAAAACTTTGATTCCCCATTGTGGCCCCGCCCTTCCCCCAGGTGTCATTATTTGAACAATTTAGAATCTACATTATACCAGGATGCTTCCACATTAGTTTCAGCTTTTCAGGCCGAGTGGTTCTTGAGAAGAAGATTTTCAAATATTTTTCCTATATATTTCTATGTAAAATTTTGATACCCCATTATGGCCCCACCCTTCCCCTGGGGGTCATGATTAAGTTTCAGCTTTTCTGGCCGAGTGGTTCTTGAGAAGAAGATTTTCAAAGATTTTTCCTATATATTTCTATATAAAACTTTGATTCCCCATTGTGGCCCCGCCCTTCCCCCAGGTGTCATTATTTGAACAATAGAATCTACATTATGATGCTTCCACATGGCTTTTCTGGCCCAGTGGTTCTTGAGAAGAAGATTTTCAAAGATTTTTCCTATATATTTCTATGTAAAACTTTGATTCCCCATTGTGGCCCCGCCCTTCCCCTGGGGGTCATGATTTGAACAATTTGAATCTACACTATACAAGATGCTTCCATATAAGTTTCAGCTTTTCTGGCCCAGTGGTTCTTGAGAAGAAGATTTTCAAAGATTTTTCCAATATATTTCTATATAAAACTTTGATTCCCCATTGTGGCCCCGCCCTTCCCCTGGGGGTCATGATTTGAACAATTTGAATCTACACTACCCCAGGATCCACATAAGTTTCAGCTTTACTGTCCCAGTGGTTCTTGAGAAGAAGATTTTTTAATGACCCCACCCTATTTTTGTGTTTTCTTGATTATCTCCCCTTGCGAGGGGATATGTCCCTTCATTTTAACAATTTAAATTCCCCTTTACCCAAGGATGCTTTGTACCAAGTTTGGTCAAAAGCCCAGTGGTTCTTGAGAAGAATCGAAAATGTAAGACAAAATGTGATGAAAAGATGATGTGAGCTAAAAAAAAAAAAAGTCAGATGTGAACTGGTTCTCCTGAAATGTGTTTACTGGTTCTCCTGAAGGATATGTCACGCACTTTGGCACTCTTGCATCCGTTTCTTGGTTACCATGGTTACATTTTGCAAACAGATATAATATAAGCTTCAGATATGTCAAATCATTAGTGTTAGCTTTTATTGGGATGAAAAAACAAGAGAGCTCAAAATATGAAAAGGATCTGTAAATTGAAGAGTGATTGTGAAGGGGAATAACTCTGACCAAAAAAATCAATAAGGTTGATATATTTATCTTTCTCAAACTCTTTTTACTCTCTAATTAAAAATGAAAAAAATGTTTTCCCACTACATTTAGTCCCTACAATTTGAATGCCAGATGAATATTTAATGCCTGATAGATGAAGCAGTAGAAAATTACCTGTAACCAGATAAAACAATGCATGGGAATGTTTAAATGTATAAAACATGTATAATTCTTAACCCTAATCATATGACAACAAAATATTGCTTTTGTCTTTTTCTTATGAATACATGATCTAGATGAACATTCTGGCAATGTGTTATGAGGAATTGTGATTACCTTTTTGGAAAAAGGATAGTAAGGCAGTGTGGATATGTATGAAGATGAAGGATTTTTAAAAAATATATACCATCATGCATCCAATTATTTTTTTTTTTTAATTATTCATCTGATGAATGCAATCAAAACAAATTTCAATCACAAATATTTGCCTGTTTTTTTTGCCCTACTTGTGCTGACTTGTGTGTGTGAAATGATATGTGCCAATGACTTCTGTGGTTAAGGAATCAGCCTTACTTATGTGGTTGTACCCATATGTAAAGAGGGTTCACTGAGGGACACAAAGTAACATAGCTCAAATGCACACACTCACTGAAGAGAGGGAGAGTGGTTCAGGTAACACAGATTACAACAACTCCACAGGTGCAAAAACATGAAAAAGCCCAAGTTACTGTAGATGTACTTTTTACCACGGGATCATATTTACGCGGAATCTCAATTTCTGTTTAATTAGCGTGTACAAAATTACGCGGATTTCCTAGACCGTCACTTTATGCCTTACATTATATGAAGTACGCTATGACAAATTTCCGCGGACAATTTGTGACCGCTTACATAACGTAAATTAATACCGCGCGGAAAAAAGTACTTCTACAGTACATCCGAGAGAAGAAAAATACAACATCTGAGATGCTGTGGATGAAATGTCATGAAACTGATACACGTAACAATTAAAGTACGGCAAAAACAAAACAAATGTAACTTTTAACGAAATACGCACACAAATAATTTCAATATTAGAAAATGAGCCTCGAGAAAAAAAGCATAAACAGAGCTATGCTTTCATTATTCAAGTTATGCTGGACCCTAGTACACAAATATACATATGTGACATTGAATGTACATAACCAGTGGAATTATTTGTAAAAAGCCTTGGGAAAAATACTTGTAAACTATTGCTAGGTGAAGGGAATTTTCTTTGGTCCACATTGGATCTGATCAATAACAAATTGAATGCACTCATAGTTAAAATATACATATATAATCATATATCTTTCTGACATGGATTTGATCCCAATTTGCATGTATAATTATCAATAATGACTAATTATCTAACAAACCTTAGAAAGTACAATGTAATTTATGAGAGAACAACACGCCATGTGTGAAAAAGAAAATGATGTCGGCTTGGTCAAAATTGGTAAAGGGATTCTAAACAATTTAACAATTTGGTGGAAAAGAAATAACATAAAGCAAAATATGCTGTTACACAAGTACATTATAAAAGCCTGTAAATAGTCAGAAACACTTTTCAGTGCATATAGCCCTTTGAAGACATGTTCAAACTGTACCATCTAATGGCACAGTCAGTACATAAAAATAACTTATGTCTGATTTTTAACAGTAATATACTGTCTACAGAAAATAATAATGAAAACAAAATCTTATCTGTTTTTATACACCCAGTTGAGACCTCACTAAATTACAAAAACCTTGAAGCTATATTTTCCCAAAATACGACCATTTTTTTGAAAAAAAAAAAGAAAAAAAAAGAGAAATCCTCTATAAAAATGTGAAGCATTTTAACAGCGAGAAATGGACCGTCACACCAAGGAGACTTTATTATCGATATCCTCTGCCAGCTCCATGTTGTCTTCACCCGTGGAAGACCAATCAGCTATATGCTTACAACTATGACACTTGGTAGTGTCCATGTTTTCATTGCACATTGAAGGGCCATTTTCTTCTGTCACTTTATCTAAAATGTCTGAACACAGAATTAACTTCTTTAGATCTTTTTCTTGACAAGAATCTTTTTCCGTTGAAATATTTTCCTTCAAACTTTCCTTTAACACTTCCTCTGGATTTTCTTTGTTCAACCTGCTGTTTTCTGAAATCTGATTGGATGGTTCACACTCAGAACTGTTTTCATTGGTTACACTGAGTTCACACTCAGAACTGTCCACATTTTCATTGGTTACAATGAGTTCACTTTCTTTGTCCTGATTGGTGAACACTGATTTGTCCTCCATGTCTTCTTTTTCTTCAATGGAGATCTCAAGGATTTTTTCAGGATCCACTCGACCTATGACCCAGGGATGTTGTAAACATTGTTTGGCAGTCAATCTTTCCCTGCAAAAGTTATCAATTTGACAGTTACATGTAACAACAGTTACCTCTAATTAAACTCTCTAAAATCATTTTGTTACTGACAAAATTTCATTTTTTTTTTATTTTTTGAATTTTCTGATAAATGCTTTCCTTTAGAAAGGGTTTCATCTAAATAAAAAATGCTTTTTCTTCCATTATAACAAATATGATTAAACATTTTGAGAAAAATAAGCCCCATCCCCTCCAACAAATGTATGATTCAGAATATTGGATGCAACTTTTATGGGAACACTAGTACATGTAATACAATATGTCATATACATAACAAACCTTTCAACCAGTGATACATTTTTTTCTGCAATGTTTGCAATCCTTAATTCCCACACATTGTACATGTATTTAAAAAAAAAAAGAAACATTAAGACATGTTATTGTTTATGTCTGTATATCTTTTTCTTTGAACTTCCTCATGACTTACTCGGGGTCTTTGACCAGTAACTTGGTGATGAAGTCCTGGGCCAGTGGTGAGGTACCCTTAAAGAGACTCTCCGGGAAGTCCAGGTTGACCTGTGATATGTTGAGAAACGTCTCCTGGTTATCCTTACCGGCGAACGGTGAGTGGGCGGTCAGCATGACGTACGTTAGTACCCCCAGACTCCTAAAAATAGACAAAGTGTTGTAAGTAAACTTAAGTCAGTACCCCCAGACTCCTTTAAATAGACAGTGATAGGCATTCAATAGTGAAGATTTAGTCAGTGCAGAGAGCATAAACACATTTAACTCTCTTTTCATACTGATGTTCATGTATTTCATTTTGATTATTAAAGCATCAATACCCTAAGTAAGGATGTTTTTATTAAATAAAAGTTTCCTAAATTTTTCTCATAATTTTTAGCTAATATAGTTTGAATTTCAATCCATTGGCAATATTAATTTTGCTTTTAAAATTTTTTTTAAATATAGTTAAATTCTATTTTAGTGAGCAGCAGGTCATATTTTTTTCCTTGATAAATATCCAAGCATATGTTAAATTAATTGATTACTTTTCAACCAGTATAACTTCGAAGTTGCAGACACTATGTCCTTACAACAACCTTAAGCTGAGAGGGTAACACCACCTTAAACCTTGCCTAAACACTGCATCACCTTAAGCTTTTTACAAAATACAGAAAGAGTGTGACATTCCATCACTAGCCTGACGTACATGGATACACTGGGAAGATAAATCACAGCTTACACGCTGTAAACAACATCACGGACATTGTCCGCCCCATCTGTGTATTTATAGCCTAGAGGATCAGAGTCACATCAAAGCTTTAACCTAAGCTCAAATCAGGTCTCATTAATAAAACATTCAGATCACCCACAGTCTGCAAAGAACCAGCACAAAGGGATGGGGAACTAATCTGGATCTTTTTAATTCATTCAGGATAAATCTATTACCCCCATATGTAAAACTCAAAGAGGATTGTTGAGTATTAATTGAATTTAATACACTTCACATCTACATGATCATGTGATGATCTAAGAATGTACTTTCTGAAGAAATGACAAAACATATCATTAAGTCTCTCAATAGTTTTTTTGCTAGGCTAATTAGGCTTATTCTATCACTCTTTAACAATACATACATTCTTAATTTCTCTTCAAAGAAATGGAAAGAAAAAAACCAACTCACTTCAATTCAGTACATATCACAAATCATATCAAATCCTATTAAATAATTTTAAAATATAATTAAAATTAATACACCTGTAACTGTAAAAATGCCCTCTAAAGTTTGTTATATTTTTGATCATCAATACAGTAAAACTCGGTTATAGCGAAGTCAATGGGACCTATGAAATTACTTCGCTATAACTGTAATTTGTTATATCCATAGAAGAAATAAATTAAATTTACATAGCTCGGGACCCAAGATAACTTCGCTATATATATATTCGCAATATCCGCGTTCATACTAAATGGGTTTTAACTGTATTTCATCTGAGCAATAAGCAATCAAACCTCAGTATACCTTGGTCAGAAAAATTTCTTGTCAAGATAAGACACTTTGAAATGATTCTATTAACTGACTCTAACCATGGTATGTGTAAACTGAACAGTCATACTATACCAGCCCCATCAGATGAAAACTCAGCTCCTAGCAGCAAACTTAATCAGGAGAAAGTTCATCAACTAATAACAAAGGTAATGAAGTGAAGGCTCAACTCTCAAAATATCTAACCAAGTAAAGGCTCAACTATCAACATATCTAACCATGCAAAGACTCAACCCTCAACAAACCTAACCAAGTGAAGACTGAACTCTCAACATACCTAACTAAGTGAAGACTCAACTCAACAACTATCAACATATCTTACTAAGTGATGACTCAACTCTCAACATACCTAACCAACTGAAGGCTCAACTCTCATCATACCTAAACAAGTGAAGGCTCAACTCTCAACATACCTAACTAAGTGAAGGATCAACTCTCATTACATAAACAAGTGAAGGCTCAACAGTCAAAATACCTAACTAAGTGAAGGATCAACTATCAACATACCTAACTAAGTGAAGACTCAACTATCAACATACCTAACCAAGTGAAGACTCAACTATCAACATACCATACTAAGAGATGACTCAACTCTCAACATACCTAACTAAGTGAAGGCTCAACTCTCATCATACCTAAACAAGTGAAGGCTCAACTCTCAACATACAGGTCTATATAACCAAGTGAAAACTCAACACTCAACATACAGAACAAAATGAAGGCCCAACTCTCAACATACTAACTAAGTGAAGACTTAACTCTCACTATACCTAACCAAGTGAGGGATCAACTATCAACACACCTAACCAAGTGAAGGCTCAACTTTCAATGTTAACCTACACAACTATCAACACTGCTTCATCAATGTTTTAAAAAAACATAAAAACAGAATTCTTCCTATAAAACATCAGTCTGGAGTCTATATTTCTTTACTGATTATGCAGTGTTTTTCTACGACCCATAATCACAGCAAAAAATAAGCAGTTTCCTCAGGGGTCAAGAAAATGTGGTAATTTTTCCCCCAAAATAAACATTATTTTCCCAGAAAGAACTATATTTTCTCAATTGTTATAAAGATTTCAACAGTGTTCAACATAAAAAAAAAATCCCAAAATAAATGAGAAATTAAGGCTGCGTTTGAATATGGGTGAAAATACTGCCGTGACCTCTCAAGACCTTGTCCTGACACGGCATGTAATGTAATTGAGGAAATAGTCATTTACTGAACAGGAAGTCTGCGGAACCCCGTACTTCAAACGGAAGTCCCCTTAAGTGTTTGTGTGAATAAAGTTATATAGAGTAATTCCACATCTGCAGCCTAGCTGGCACAGATAAAATCATTTATAAATACATGTAATATTTAATGTAAAAGATTAAAATCTAAGTGAAAAAAAATATAAGGATTACAATGCTTCATTTCCCTGTCAATCACTATGTGTGACATATGCATTGTATTCATTTAGAAAACTTAAATTTAGAAAGTCTTATATAATATGAAGCTGCTACAATGAAATAAATTCAGGTGAATTTTTAAAGAATGGTGTGGTTCATCCACAAATAACTTTTAAAAATAGCACAAAGTTTTAGTGTCATAATGGTTATAATCTTTACCTATCGAAATTGATTTAAACAACAAACTAAAAAACATGAGGATTTCTTCAAAAGACTATAATAATCATGGCATATATTAAGAAACTGTTTCTTAATTATTGTGAAAATTAACCTAATTATGGAAACTGTATTTTTTTTTTCCAAACAATTTCTTAATTCCAGTTTTTGGTGTAAGTTGCAAGTTCTTTTGTAAAACGGGCCCCTGGCTGAGAAGAAAAAAAAAACAAGTCGACACCTTCCACATCAGTTGACAAATTCTTCTGAGGCCCAGAGAGAACTTATTAAAAGAACATAAAATCTAACTATACATGACAGAAAAAGGAAATAAAAGCAGTGTTTAAACCACCACTCATTGGACTTTATTGCTAATAAACTTTACCTCATAAACAATATTTTGCATTGTCATGGTTTAACATTAAGTTAAAGGCCAAAAAAAAGAATAAATAAATAAAACGATATGCTTGAAAGGGGAACCAAAATCAGTTTCAAATGCTGATTAGTTTGAGATATGGAAGTAAAAAAAAAATAATGTAAATTGGTAATGATAGAAGAAACTTGAGGACCGCTTTTTATGCCACATTCCAATTTCTGTCTCATTTACAACCCACCCACAAAACCTGCTTTTGTTAAAAGTACATTTCCAGTTCATATTTCGTATTTCCCATATCTATTACAGTGTCCAGGTTGATAACGCTATAGCTTTATTTTAAAAAAATTATTTTTTTAAAAACTCTTTTTATTAAAGTGCAATTTTGGATCAACTTTCGCGTATTAAAATGCAAATCCATCAATTCAAATGCCTGCCTTTATTCTGCAGCCCATAATTCATCCTATAAATGAGCCCCTTCTTTCTATGAGAGAGACAGATTCCCTCAAGCCCTCGTGTTTATTGACCCTTCTGCTGCAATCCAAACATATTTCATTCTTAAAAGCAGTGTAATCCTTTCTTTAACACACTGTTTCCTATACATAGCAGGTTTAAATGTATTACTTAGTGAAATCACAAATACGGAATGGAAAACTAATGTTTAGGGATGGGTATCGCCAAAAATTTCATATCGCGATATATCACAATTTTTTCTCAAAATATCACGATAATATCATGATATTTTTACAATCAATTTTTACAATGATTTTTAATGAATTGTCATTATTTTTCTTCAAAATACAGCAAAATTTCACAGATATATGTTTGGAAAAATGTTCTTTACACACAACATTTTTTAGATTTTCTATAATTGTAATTTAAAACATTGAACAAATAAATGAATAATTTCTGGACTTTATAAAGTGTACCTAAATACGGTATTATATAATATGAAGCAACAAAAAATTGTGATATATATACCGGTATACCGATAAAATCGCACATCTCTACTAATGTTGAGAGTGAAATTCCCTAATTAGAATTTTTATGACCCATTTTTGTTGTAAACAATAATTTCGGATATATCATATTTAAATATAATTATTGAAATAAATCTTATATACAAAAATTAATACTAGAAAAACATTCTTTCTACCTAATTATTGAAATAAATCTTTTTTAAAAAATTAAAACCATACATTTGAATTTTTAAAAAATATTAAGGAAATGGTTGATTCAAATAACTATATAATACTTAATATGATGCCAGCCAGTGACTTGTCACAGTGTTTTATGATATACGACCCCCTGCAACTCTGAATCATCCCATTAGGAGAAATTCCAGACCCTCGTTAGATTTCAGTGACATGCTGGCATTATATAACGACTCCGGTTTAATCTATTGGTTATAAGAGAGGGAACTAGGTACTGCTTTATTTTCGTTGTTGAAAAATTAACAAAGAATGAGTCAGCTTTCTTTGAATTATCTATTGTCATGGCAAATTGAAACTTGGAGATTCATTCATAAAGCAATGCTTTGTTAAAATTGTTAACCATAATAAGAGAGTAATGATATCGTGTAGTGTAATAATTATATGGAGTACAATAATATAAGTTAAACGTGTAGTGTAATACAGTCAAACCTGTCTTATCTGACATGCACTGGGAGACAAATTTTGTGTTGGAATAGATGGTGTGCCGGATTGAAAAGTGTAAAATAACATTAAAATTAGTAAAATGGGAGAGAAATTTTGGGTCAGGATTTACAGTGTGATGGATTACGTGGGTGTTGGATAAGACAGTTTTCACTGTAATAAATTTCTTACCACATATCTGTGTACAAACCCAGGGGTTCATAAGACAGCACTTCTGGAGCTATGGAATGAAAATCAAAATTTATCATGTTAATTATACTGTACACATTTTGAACTTTTCTAATATTCATGCTAAAATATATATCTATTTTTAAACCATATGGTAACCATTGTTAGTGTCATGGTTTTCAAGTACCTGCTGTATGTACCTACCTACATAATCTGGAGTACCAATGATGTCTCTGATATCCTCCCCTGTGTTGACCAGACAGGCAAAGCCAAGATCACAGACTTTTATATCACCATGGGGAAATGGCTTGGTAAATAATATATTCTGAGGCTAAAAAAAAACAAAGCAAATACTAAACAGCATTTTGTCATTTTATTCCTTAGTAAGAAGGAAATTTAATGTGAATATTTGCATGCCAGTTTGAATCAAATTCACATTATTAAGCAATTAAACTCTCTCAGTGTCTCTCTCTCTCTCTCTCCCCCTCACTTCCCCTCTTTCTCTCTCCCTCTCTCTATTTCTCATAGAATGACTCTGATGGAGTATTTTGTCTTATACAACCACAACTCCCGCTAAATATTACACCTTGACACTTTCCACTTCACCTCCCACAAACTTATAAGCATGACTGAGATAAATAGACAGGCATGACTTTATTGTACAACAAGAATTCAATTAAAAAACGCCACAGTGATCTGTCACGTTAGGTTATTTTAGAGTCGGTCAAATATCGGATCCTTCCCTCCCTACATCTGCTTACAACTGGCTGACAACTGGTCAAATGTCAGATCCTTCCCTTCACTACACCTGTTATGGTCCTGCTTACAACTACATGACAACTGTCAAACCATGTTTTTTCTGCTTTTTAAGAGCTTTATTTTTTTTTTAAAAAGTAACAAATAAAAAGGTTAATGAACTTCTAAAATGGATGGTTTAATCCCCCCCTTTTGTTTGTTTGTTTGTTTTTTTTTTTTAACAATAAAAACAACTAAGCAATAATAACTTTCAATTCCGAAAAAATAATTTGTGTTCTGCCTATTCAGCAATTTTAATTTATATTTTTTCACACTTATTAAGTTATTTTTCTGCACATATTAACTCAAAGGTACATTTTTAAAAACATTTATGAGCACTATATGGCCTCCCACTAAACACTGCAAAAAACCGAAACACTGCAGTTAAAATAAAGTTTAATGAAGCCTCCAATAACTTTACGACCACATTAACAGCGTTTTAAACCTTTCTTCCTCACCCACACGTCAACTCCCCCCTTTTTCTTTAAAACTTCATAAGCAAGAGTTATTACAGTCAACAGGTCATAAAACTTTCTCTACATGGACCAGTACAGTATGCCCCTATACAAAGTTTTTAAACGATCGTAATAATAAAAGTCCTTGGGGACAAATTGTCTTGGTTTGACAACAAGAGCTGTATAAATCAACACTCTTCAGCGAAACTCAATTAAAAGAGTCTAGACCTTAGCAATTTTTCTTCCAATCAGATAAGACACATTGAGTTGCAGACTTTCCCTTTTCTTATATAGTTCTATGGTCCAAAAGCTCCTTCACACACAAGAGAAGAATTTGACTGGTTCTATCAAGAGTAAATTACTTAAACCTAACAGCATTATCAATGCTCAGTGGATAATTTTAAAGGATGCTCTACTTTAATATGTTTAAGATTCCAACTGATTCTAATAGATGTGCTTGGGTCTTTATACTTTTGAATTATCATATACTTGTCAACTTTATGTGTTAAAATTGGTCAGCACAAAGATGTCTCATGAAGATCTACACTTTAGAAGTAAAATTCCTCCTTTATATGATTCACAGGTCTAAAGTAGCATGTTAGACATGTCTGTTCTGTTTGACTTTGGAAAGTACTTTATGTACCTAAAGTGCTCAGAAAAACACAGACACAATTTTTAGCATTTACAGCAAGATCTTTAATATTTCAGTTTCGTATATAAAATTAACATTTATTTATGCAGCAATTCATATAAAAAAAAATCCCCAACACACCAGTTCCATCCTAATAACAAATTAACCCATAATTATGAAGAAAAATGTATTGTAAAGGGTTAACATCACATCAATAAACCCTTTAATAAATTAAGGCTAGACCTAAACTAAAATTTTTACTAGTGTACACAGGGAAAACTTCGCCCCCGTTTATTTTTCGCCCCTTTCGCCCTCTTCACCATTGCTAAATGCTGTTTGTTACAGGCTAAGGTTTGATCTTTATGAGCAGAAACTCCTTTAACCTTACAAGAAATTTTTATTTCAAAGCAGTATTTTTATCAATTGAAGCGATCACTTTGGCCGTTTGTCGGTTCTTATGGAAAACACTGGCTGTCATTTGTTTTAAGCATTATTGTATAAGCAAAATTTTTAGCGAGGATTTAATTTTGGCATTATTAGCGATGGTGCTGAGATCACTAAAAACTGAATATCGCTAAAAATTAATTGTGTTTTATTGTAATAGCTTCTTTAGTGAGCATTTTAAAATTGCTAAAATTACATCTTGCAAAAAATAAAACGCCAACTTTTAAGGACAAATTGCTAAATTTGTATCTCACTAAAAATTTCCACTTGTACAGAAATCATTACCTTTAGATCTAAGTGCACTATATTTCTTTCGTGAAGGTAGTCGAGGCCCTCCAAGATCTGTGCCAGGAATCGGACGACATCGGCTTCACTGAAGGACTCCTCTATCACACACTCCGTGAATAACTCCCCACCCGCACAGCTGGAATTATACATAACAAAACTGTCAAAAGAATGTACAAAGCAACAATAGCAAAAGAATGTGCAACAAAACACTGTAAACTAAATGTACAGTTGTATCAGAAGCAGCTCAACGACCTTATTCAAGCAGATCATTTTGCAGAAGTTGGGTTTTATTTGAATGTATGCTTTGATTTTGAGCTTTGAGATTGGTTTATTAATCTGTGATATGTATGAGCTGTGATCTGAGATTGACCAATCCAGTAACTATCTGATGATTGAGTATGAGCCAATATCTGAGATTGACTTACGTACTACTTTGTGATGAGAATATGAGTTTGAGTCATTAGTATGCAATGAATAGGAGCTGAGATGCGAGATTTGTTTAATACTCTGCAATAAATAAGTGCTGAGATATTGGCATATAATACTATTCTAGCTGTGATGAGTATGAGCTGAGATCTGATATTGACTTACTACTCTGTGATGAGTATGAGCTGAGATCTGATATTGACTTACTACTCTGTGATGAGGATGAGATGTGATATTGACTTACTACTCTGTGATGAGTATGAGCTGAGATCTGATATATCGACTTACTATTCTGTGATGAGTATGAGCTGAGATCTGATATCGACTTACTACTCTGTGATGAGTATGAGCTGAGATCTGATATCGACTTACTACTCTGTGATGAGGATGAGATGTGATATTGACTTACTACTCTGTGATGAGGATGAGATGTGATCTGATATCGACTTACTACTCTGTGATGAGGATGAGATGTGATATTGACTTACTACTCTGTGATGAGTATGAGATCTGATATCGACTTACTACTCTGTGATGAGGATGAGCTGAGATCTGATATTGACTTACTACTCTGTGATGAGGATGAGCTCAGTTTGCGTCTCAAACACTTCTTTGAGATCCACCAGTCGGGGATGTTCTAACCCGAGCTCTAACATGACCACCTCTCTCAGGATTTCATCTCGACACGACTTTCCCTTCCGGCGCTTGCGGATAAATTTGGCGGCTACCTCTTCCCCTGTCTCATTATTGATACACTTCCGTACAACTGCAAACTTCCCTCTGAAAAAAAAAAAGAAAAGAAAACAATTACTAGAGACTTCAGATCATTTTTCTAGTCATTACTTTGGGAAGTCATTCTTATGGAAGATGAATCAATGAGCATGACGAGGGCAGTGTTGAAACATGCAACCAATTACATGTGTGTAAAACCAAAAAATTGAAACTCAAAATAATTGTAGCATAGATACACAGAAACAGAGAAAGGAGCAATTTGTGATAGTGCATAATGAATTTCATGCAATTAACAATCAACAGTTTAAAATGGACATGACAATCATTAACTATTTATAAATATATGATGTTTATCAATTCAACATGTTCAACATCATTTTTATGGATCATAACAAAAAAGAGATAAAAATCTTTCATTTATTTTTTATGAAAATACTTGTGGCAGGTCAAAATTGAGCAAAAACACCATTTAGAAACATGAATGCATACAACAGTGTGCCAGAAAATGTCTTTCTAATGAAGAATTCAAACTACCTTTATGCACTAAATTGCTATGTACATAGTATTTAAATCTGTCAACCTTGCAAAAACTGCATTTCAACATTGTTTAATTGAACTTAGAGGTGAGATTTTCAACAACAGACTTTTCGGGCTTCTTCTTCTTTCTTTTTTTTTTTTTAATCGCACTTCAAGGTTATCATATTTTTCTTTATACCTGCAGGCAGCCTTCAGAATGTTTAAATTAATTTATCAAACATCCAATATTTCTTTCCTAAATCTTTCATAACAAGAGATGTTTGTAAAACACTTATGGACTTAATCCCCCCCCCTCGAAGGGGAGGGGCATATTATAAATTGCTGATTTAATGCAATAAAATTGCAGAACGTTTTTCTTGAATTTGAATGAACATGATGAAAATAACATGACTAATTTCACATCCTGCATGGTGACTATATATATATATAAACTGATTTCCAAAATAATTCATAATTTTAAAATAATTTCCTCTTCAATGAAAAGCAGAGGGAAGAAAATGCAAGTGACATATGGCTACCTCTAGATAATTTATTCATTTGAATCAATATCAGACTTTTATTACAATCATACAACTATTGTAAACAGGGCTTCCCTTTAGTATATTATGTAGTTTCTATTTTTTATTCAGGGAGGGGGGATTCCCTTTTAGAAAGTTTACAAAATGATATTGCACAGGAACTTGATCATGACTCTTTCTTGCACTCCTACATCACCAGGAAACTGCAGAAAATTCAGTAAAATCTCCATATATTAACATGATTAATGTGAAATCATTTTCAATTTTTGTGGGAAGATAAGCCCATAACTTAAATCTCATTTATATCAAAATTTTCCTTAATATTTCATCTAACATTAAAGTATACTTTATGTAAAATCTCACAACTTGCACAAATCTTATGAAGATTGAAGTTATTTGCCTATGAAATATTATAAAATCACACTATAACACTATTTTTCGTTATGGCATTTTTTTGCAGTTTACATAAAAACATACATATTTTGGTTTTCATTTTACCTTAAAAATATAATTTTATGACATAACTTTCGCACTACGAAATACTCGAAGTCCCTTAAGTCAATGGTCATATCACAAACATGATTTAAATGCCACACTTCATCAGGACTTGTGTAGCGTATTGGTTAGCGTGCTGGTCTCAAAAGAGAATACAACTGAGGATTTTTATTGCCAAACCAATGGATACCTTATTATTTTTTTTTTATATAAAAATGCATTTTGAAAAATTTTCCTCAAAACTTTTTGTTTCTCATGATTTCATGAAAATCAATGATGAGAACTTTACTCTAAATACTGAATTCACAATTTGAATATATTTTTATATATCTGAAGTTTCACCCATCTCCTTTACAACCACACCACGAAATCTAAAATTTCATATGGCTTGCATTACTACTTAGCATTTTCCAACTACGAAATCAAGTCCTCAAAAAGTAATACATGTATTGATTTCCTCAATTAAACCTCAAAAATTTGATCCCACAAAAATATGTGATTTACAGTATAAATGTTTACTCTCGGAGTGAACCAGATAAACATATTAAAAAAGTTAAATTATTTTAAATAATGCAATATTTCTTAAGACGAAATAATAATTTTTTTAAAAGAAAGAATTCAAATTTTTTTTTTTTCAACCTGCCAAAAAATAATGTCACAAAATTTCAAATGATTACAGAATCAACTGAATTTCTGGAATGTTTATCATCAGTCATTTGTGTTTCCCAATACCAGAATACGTAGATTGTATATAGAATTCCATACTCAAAGACTTATATTACCATTCTATCTCTTTAAAGGAGATGTGAACACATAAATCTGACCTTGACAGCCAATTAAAGGGTCAAACACAATGTCAGAGATAAGAGAAGAATTCCAAGTGCCCCTCATGTTCAATACTTAATCATATTTAAAACCACCCATTAACAATGACGATAGTAAGAAATCGCGCACTCATCCTACACAAATATTTACAATATAATGCTTATCAGAGCCTCGATCATCCTCTAATTAACCAGAACAATGCCGGGGATGGAATTGTGGGTGATCTCCTTATGTGTAAAGCAATCTGTTCCCTATTTCACGTTTAATATTATAACATGTATAAAGATTGATCAAAATGTTTCAAATCATAATATATTTCCTCTATTTTACCAAATCACAGAATCTGACCCTCGGCATTGCCATATATGTTATTAATATAACTCCAAAATATAGTAGCTCGTAGTGCTTGATCTCTTAAATGATTTTGTTTAAGACAATTTTTTTTTATTGAAAATCATACTGTATAATCATGAATGATAGTGGGTTTATGATTTTGCAATAATCAAATTTTCCCTTTCTGCAAGCATTTTTAAATGATAAAAAAATTGTACTGGAAATAAAATTGTAACTGATTGTGTACCCCATATATTAACAAAGATAAATTTCTATCACACCAATTGATGGGACAATTGCAAAAAAAGGACTTGTCTACATGTCAAACTAAAAATAACACTTTTTCACAAACAATTAAAATACCCATATATTGTAACTATATATGTATTTTTATGTATATTGTATATCATCCTGAATTTTTCATGTAAATACCATTTGCCTGGAGAAATAGTATTAATATCAGAGCCATTGAGCATGTATTATGCCAGCATACTATGTATACATGGTTTTATATGGGGTGTCAATTTCAACTGTTACCCTCCAAAACAGGCACCATTTATATAATGCACAGACAAATTTGAGACATTGTACTAAATGAAAACTTAATGACAATGGGAAAAGAGAAAGTGTACAAACTCCTACAGTAAGCAGAGATGAACAGAACCTGAGTGTGACATTAAGTGAGTTAAGAAACTCTACAGATCAATCTATACACTCAGCAATGTCTGATCTCTTGGATTTCCTGCTGGAAGATTACTCCTATTAACCAGATGACTGAGAGAACAGGCCCTAGAATTAAGATAATGATGAAGCCTACATGTTAGGCATCAGTAAAAAGTCAATATCCCTCATTCTGCAGTCAGTCCATGTCAAAGCATGTTTGCTCTCGTAGAAGCTTTTTGCCAATTAATCTTAACAGGAAATACAGTTCTAGTCATTAATTACAGAAGCTTAGATGTACTGAATTTGTACAAAATGTCAACACATGCTCAAAGTCTTAATTAGATGTAAATGAATCTGTCTCTAATATACATACCCTTTAGGGTTTCAGTGTTGTGTGTTTTAGCTTGTTTAGTACAAAGAATACTTTTACTTCATTGAATGTCAGTAACAGTGTAACCTTGTTAATATGGCCACCAATAAACTGGATACTCCATCTTCCAGACAAAATTTGTATGGAACAATTTATACATTTTTATAATTATATACATCACATATATTTATAAACCAAATATGTTTGTGTAAGTAATCTGAATGCTTCATTAACTTGAATGGACAATTTTCTGAAAGGGGAACAATAAAATATCCAGATTTTTATCTGTAAATAAACACAGCCTTAAAATTAGTGCACCTATTTTCTTTTTCTGCCCCTCGTAAGTTTTGTAATTTTTGTGGCTATGAGACAGCTGCTCTTCTTTTTCCTGTTAATTTACGGACCACGGGGGATTTTGTGACCTTGTGCACTACAGTCGATGGCTCTTGTGTCTGTCGCAGCATGTAATGTCCCAAACCACATAGAAGACAATGACTCTGTATATAAAACCAGGTGGGCTATCTAGAACTGGGACAAATTCTCAATTGATGAGTCACAGAAACTTATACAGCCTGTCCAAATATATATAGTTATATATTCTGTTGTAGGATATAAGTAAGAAAGACTAAAAATCTACAACACAGTAGACATAGGGACCATATATACACGAATCTGGCCCATTTCCTGTCAAGCACGTAATGACAGAAATGTCAATCAATTGCATGCCAAATTGGTAATTATTGACAGTGGTTTTGTTATTATCTTATTGGCTTAATCACCATGATCAATATATTAATTGTAAAAAAATTCATTAATTTCTTTTTTTTTTTTAAATAATTTTCTGACAAAGTTTGAGATCATATATATTATCATAACTACAGTTACCATGGTTACAATGTAATGAATTTTTCAAAACAGTTTTTTAGTACAATCCAAACGTAAATGATTTTAACCATTTGAAGATTCTGAGAAAAAAATTTTCTGAACATGTTCATGCATGATGACCTTGAAATATTTCCATTTCTATATATCATGATATACTGAAAATCACATTTTCTTGGGATCACATATTCCTGGTTTGAGGAAAAAAATGCTTTATCGGAATTCACTTTAACAATGGAAGCAGTGTAATAAATTGTATCTTAACTATAAAGTTTTTAAATTTTGTGGGAAACAAAAATTAAAAGGGTCTATGATGATGAAAACAATGAAAATTAGCCCCCTACCCACCACCACCACCATTACCCCAGGGATCACTTTGGGCTGCGCCTTTGCGCCATTGGCGCCCAATATTTGTAAATGGCGCA